GAAGAAAATATGAGTTTAGAAAATATTTACAATATGGATGAAAGTGCACTTCTATGGAAGACCGTTCCGACGAAAATACTGACTGGAGGAGAAAAAAATCTATGTGGACATGAGACGAAAAAAGAACTTATTACAATTGGCTTATGTGCAAATGCGTTAGGCACGCATAAGATTATGCCTCTTGTAATTTATAAATATAAAAACCCAAGAGCATTGAGACACGAGGTTTCATTGCCTGTAATTTTTAAATCGCAGACAAATGCATCGATAGACAGAACATTATTTTTAGATTGGTTTGAAAACCATTTCAAACCATCTGTAAAACAATATCAGGAGGAAAAACAAATATCGGGGAAAGTAATCCTATTGTTAGATAATTGCGAAGCCCATAATGTTTCACTGCAAGAAAATGAAGAATTTAAAATTATGTATTTACCGACCAATTCAAGATCTTGTATTTCTAAATCAATGAATCAAGAAGGGATCATGGAGAAAACAAAAAGAATTTTCCGCCAGAAACTCCTGCAACGTGTTTTAACGTATGATGGAGGAATAAGTGAATTTTATTCCGACTACACAATAAAAAACTGTATTGACATTTTATCCGAATCCTGGTCGGTAATTACACAAAGAGATATTAAAAATGCATCGAATAAAATTATTAATCCTGCTAGTCGTTCCATTCAATCGGAAACCAGAGAGCTGGAACCTGATTGGCAAGGCATGATAAGTGAGATCACGGGAGAACAATGCACCCTGGCACATGTTACACAATTTTTATTAAAATGTGAGGAAGAAGAAAGATACATCGAAGATATAGAAATAAAAGAAGAACCGGCAGAACTTCAAGAAGAACCGCAAGAAATGATTTATGAAGGGTGTAGAAACGAAATTGTGAACAATGAATTACGTGTAATGTTTGACAGATTGACATTTTACAGTGCAACATCTCCAGCTTACATACAGAGCATGGTGCAGGGAATAAAAATATTTTTCTTGGGCAAGGAGAATTAGATAAGTAAGTTTCTATTTATGAAATGATAAACATTTGTCGCGAAAAAATTTGAATTATTCATAAATTAGCTTTTTTTTACATTATTCAGGTAAGAAAAACCGTGGTGCTACAAGGTACGTGGTAGGTGCTAAATACGTGACCGTTAAATCGTAGCATGTGGTCTTCAAACTGCCTTTGAATCGTGGCAAAAAATTAAAAATAAAAAAGATTAGTCATCGTTTTTATTCTAGCATTACTATGTACATATTTGGATTAGTGTACACTGGCATGTTGGTCGTTGGCTGTTTTTACCGACTGCCCTGAGTTTCTATAAAAACAAGTCACGAGGCCCGAGGAATCGCGACTTAGTTGCTGGTTTCAATTCCGGGAGAAATTACTGTATGTAATTACGATGTCGCAATTGTTTATACCTTTCTTAATATTTTTATACCAAGACATAGTACCTTCCATATTAAAACAAGATGTTTATTGCATAAAGCTTTTCATAAAGAGTTATATGTGTAGATGTGATGAAACTTGTTAACGTTATTTCTAAACTACACATATTTACAACCATACTCATTTTGGACCGACAATCTTTGACATTTTTACGATAGCGTCTTGACATGCATCTGGCTTCAGAAGTGAGTGAATCTAAACAGACCTGCCAACGAACGACGGTTCGTGACTACATTGGATCTTCTGGCTAGCGGCTATATGTATATGTTTGAAGAAGGCAAGTGATCCGACGCCAGCTTGCTAAAGAATGAAGACGTTGTTCCCAAAAGATTTGGCCACGGGACGTAGAAGGCGATGCCTTCTGATGAGAGGATCTTGATTGACCGCTCGGAACTTATCCCAGAACCTTCTCGAAATACATATCGACGATTGTGTAACATATAGATCAATTTTACAAAACAATATATATATCCCTTGGATCCCTTGGATTAATATATTTAAATTGTCGAATTAAAAATTTCAACAGTTTTAACGTTTTAATATATATAATAAATTAAAAATGGATTTTTTAACAACTCGACGAATTACCATGTAATTGTTTAATAAAACTGTCAAATAAAAAATGTTGTAGCTTAGCGTCCGTTTTTGCACTAGAATAGTGCTTTCTGTATATTAGAGTTCAACATAGACCTTCACACGTTAGTAAACAACCATATTACATTAGGAAATGCGGAAAAAAACGTGCTGAAAACATTCCGCCTTGTTTTAATGTGGAACTCTTTCGAACTTAAAAGATATATACTTTGTCAGTTGTAAAGAATTTTATAAATTTTATTCATATCATTAAGCCTTAGTTTTTAAACATATTACACACAGTAATGTACTAATTCATTGGGAAGAAATGCTTTTCAGAAGATATCAAATATATTCGTTTATATATACGTCGCAATAAAGACAAGCAATTTTTATCAGAGAAAATAGAAACTTAAAAATGTTCGAGTTTAAGAGCATCGTAAGCATGGCAAAGTGAGACTGCCTAGATTTTTCGTCCGTGTGGACACTAACACATAGAGCACCCTGGTTTCGTTCTGTCCCTTTCGATCATCTCCTGTTCTCTTTCTGAAGCAACTGCGCAGACCTGGATGCGCATTAAAATGGTGGGGATAAAAATGTCTACTATGGTGAAGCAGAATTGCTTACTATGGTGAGGCATGACTGTATTGCTCAGAAAAGTGAATTGTGGCGCCTTCTAACGTTGCAAATAGTATACAAATTGTTCGACAATTAAATTGTTCTGTGATAGATGGTACTATAGGTACTTTTTCTTACTTTTATCCTTAATCTTGTTTAATGAAACGAAATATGTACATATCAATGGAAAACAATACCATTAACAATTAATATCGAATAATAGCAGTTCATAATTGGAACACCGCTGAAATAAATTGTTTCGTACTATTGAGACTGATATTCTTCATTTTCTGCAATCTTTATTTGTGTAATTGTATGAGTCATTATTTACCGAAGGATCGGTTGGGGAATTTATCTAGTGACCACAAAACCACAAGAATCTTTGAGTAAACTTTTGAGTTCTTCCTACAGGTTTTGAAGTTGCGTGTATTTTATATAAAATTGAAGTATGATATTTTCTTTCGTAATGTATTAACTTGTAAAATTCCGAATTTGTGATTGATTATCTACTAGAGTTTCAGTAGAATTTGCAAAGATAGAGATTAAAAGACGTAGCGTTAAAGCCGATCACTTGTTCGACATTATATTGACGCAACGCTTCGCATAACTTGTCAAGTCAATACCTTGCGACAGATTTTCGTGCAAAATAACACGCACCTGTCTCGTTCCCATATTAAGTACTTTTTAAAACTCGATAACGTACAATTTTCATCAGAAATATTTCGAGAATCATTTTACTATCATCTCGTGCACAAGTGTTGGGCTTTCAGAATCTCATTCTAGCCGAAAAAGCGTAAATAGTAAGGAAAACTGTTCAAAATAGAAAATAATTTTGCTTGTCTCGTCCGAATTTGAATGCATTAATTGTTTCTGTGTCGTGTATTCGTTGTGCGCTCTTTATGATATATTTCGTACTTTAAGTTTTTTTTCTCTTTGTTTGTTGACAGTCCTAATCAATAACGCGTATGTAAAGGTGACTTCTTATACTTAAATTGAGGCTCTAACGACTAGGGATTTAAATGAATTCAGTGGTGTGTGTTACTTGTTTGCTTTTAAACGCTTTCTGTATAAAAGTACATATAGTGTCCCGTGTACGTGTCACGTTAGAAATTGATGGATTTTGGAATATTTCTGCGAAATTTTGGCGAGGTTCGTTGTAAAGCAGCCATTTCTCTCGGCTATATTTAAGGTCGCAAAGCAGGTGCTTCCGGTCTGTGTCAGAAATCTGGTTTGAACGCCTTCGCTTCAACGTATCGTCTGCGAATTTCTGTAAACTAAACGCAGCTAAATGATAATTTATGACGACCGTACACGCGGGATTAATTTACGACAACTTCTACAGTTTTGCGAATAATAACGCGACGTCAAATATAATGCCGTTAGCGAATCTGACGGTTCCTTGGTCCGAGCAAAATGTGAATGAAAAGGTAACGTTACTTCAATTGTCAAAACATCTTATTATTTCAAAGACCGTTTCATTATAATTTATGACAACAGAATCGCGATAGAATGATTTGAATGCAATAATCATCTCTGTTGTTTAGGGAAGTGTAGAGATCCTGCCAGCAGAATCTCAGGAGGAAGCAATGATTACTCAGGGGAATGCAGCTGAGCCGCGTTCAAATGGGTGTTCTGAATCTCATGAGATTGAAGTTCGTGAAGTGGTACGTGATGGCCACGAAAAGGCAGATCCATCTCAGTTCGAACTTCTCAAAGTTCTTGGCCAAGGATCCTTTGGAAAGGTATACGCATATCCTATGAATTGAAAAGGATCTCGTGTTTGCTAAGCTATATCCTCATGCTAGTAAAATTCTTGGGTTATTTAGGTATTCTTAACGAGGAAAGTTGTTGGTAAAGATAGTGGAACACTTTACGCCATGAAAGTTCTCAAAAAGGCTACACTAAAAGGTGTTTATCGTGTTAAATGTATGAGAATGGCTCTGAAAGCTTTACTAAATGAATTAGAGTATAAGAATACTTGCTTTGTCCTTGTATTGTTTCTGTACATAAAGAATTTTAGAGCAATTCTCAATTTAAACTATTTTCTTTATTCTTTTTTAAGTGGTTTAATATATTGATATTGTCTCAGTTCGAGACAGAGTTAGGACGAAAATGGAAAGAAATATATTAGCAGAAGTTGAGCATCCATTCATAGTCCGACTACATTATGCATTCCAAACAGAAGGAAAGCTGTATTTAATTTTAGACTTTCTGAGAGGTGGTGATTTATTTTCGAGATTGGCTAAAGAGGTAGGTCTTAATTATTTAAATAAATATGTACTAGAAAAGTCACAACACTTACATTTAATTTTGATTGCAGCTGATGTTTACTGAGGATGATGTAAAGTTTTATTTAGCAGAGCTTGCTCTTGCACTGGATCATATACACAAACTTGGAATTATTTATAGGGATCTCAAACCGGAAAAGTTTGTATTATTTTATTTATTAACAGTAGGAGCATTCTATGACTACACATGTTAACTATGGTCTCCTCATTTACAATAGTATTTTGCTGGATACTGAAGGCCATATATCTTTAACTGACTTTGGTCTAAGTAAGCAATCTTTAGAAGAAGACTGTAAAGCATATTCTTTTTGCGGAACCGTGGAATACATGGCGCCGGAAATTGTTAAACGTAAAGGGCATTCGTTCGTCGCCGATTGGTGGAGTTTCGGTGTTCTTATGGTTGGTTGCATCACCTACAGAGGATTACTAAAAATAACTCTACTCTCTGCTAATTACAAATTGTAAATTTTTATATTTGTAGTTCGAAATGTTGACTGGAGCTCTTCCGTTTCAAGGTGTCAATCGCAAGGAAACAATGACGCAGATATTAAAAGCAAAACTCAGTATGCCATTAAACATTTCACCAGAAGCACAAGCGCTTCTCAGAGTACTGTTCAAAAGAAATCCTGAAAATAGGCTTGGATCTGGTAATCACCAATCACTCTATAATTCAAAGAACAATAGATCTAATGGATTAGTTGATTATTCTGCTTTTATTTTAGGTGGAGTGGAAAAAATCAAAAAGCACGTATTTTTCGCGACAATCGATTGGGATGCCCTTCTAAAAAAACAAATAAAACCTCCCTTTAAGCCAGCTGTTAGTCAAAATGACGATGCATTTTATTTTGATAGTGAATTTACATGTAAAACGCCTAAAGGTATCGCGAACAAATGATACGATTTCTAATGCGTGCTGCCGAAGACTAAATAATAGATAAATAAAATCATAAAATATTTTAGATTCTCCTGGAGTACCTCCAAGCGCTAACGCCCACGAGTTGTTCCGTGGCTTTAGCTTCGTCGCGCCGTGCCTTCTTGAGGATCATCTTAAAACTCCGGAATATAAACACTGTGATAGTCTGAATGCCACTTTCCTGTCTTACGTGAGTCCGGTCTCCATAACCGACGAGTACGAGTTCAAACAAGAAATCGGCAAAGGAAGTTACAGTACCGTTTACTTAGCTGTTCATAAAGCAACCAAAACAGAATTTGCAGTGAAGGTACAGTATCCAATATTTTATTGTAATATATCAATTTCTTTTGTCTGCTGATCATTACCTCTAATCGCAGGTAATTGAAAAATTGAAAAGAGATCCAACAGAAGAAATTGAAATTTTGCTTCGGTACGGAGGACATCCGCATATTGTAACATTGAGGGCTGTTCATGAAGACGATAAAAGAGCTTACCTTGTGTTAGAATTATTGCGAGGCGGAGAGCTATTCGACCGCTTGTTGCAAAGACGTAATCTAACAGAAAGAGAAGCTGCCGAAGTGATGTACACGATTACCAATGTAATCCAATATCTGCATGGAAATGGGGTATTTATTTATCTTCATTCACGTCAGCTTTAAATTACATATGATACATGTTATGTACATAAACGCTAGGTTGTTCACCGGGATTTAAAGCCATCCAATATATTGTACTCAAGACCAGGGGCTGATCCAGGGACCCTTTGCTTGTGCGATCTAGGATTTGCGAAACAACTGCGAGCAGAAAACGGTTTACTAATGACTCCATGTTACACTGCGAATTTCGTAGCGCCAGAAGTACTGAAACGCCAAGGATACGACGCGGCATGCGACATTTGGTCACTTGGTGTTTTATTATATATTATGCTAGCCGGGTAATTAAACACATGTTGATTAAACAGAAATTAAAGATTATCCGGTACTGATCATTTTTATTTGCATACTAGATACACTCCATTCCGTAACAGTCCCGGAGATAGCGCAACTGATATATTGGATCGTATCGGACCCGGTTTCATAGACACTGAGAATGGTATATGGTGTCATATTTCCATCGAAGCTAAAGAATTGGTGAAAAGAATGTTACATGTAGATCCTAACAGAAGGCCTACTGCAGCTGCCATTTTAAAGTACCCGTGGATCATGAACCGCCATCGTCTTCCGCAAAAACCTTTACCATACACTGTTAGAGATCCACACAGCCTAATAGTATGCTCTATTTATTCGAAGTGCAATTTGTGTAGCAACAGAGTGTAATTCCTTGGACGTATGTTTTCAGAGAGCAGTTGCTGAAACTTACAAAGCTATGTCTAGTTGTCCACGATCTCCTCATATTGGTCCTGTTGTTATGTCCGAACTGGCCCGACGAAGAACGCAAGCAAAACCGTCAGGCCCCACTGAGGTTTAAAACAAGTCTTTCATTGTACAAAGTATTCGGCAACCCATGGTACATGTGGACGATCAGTGATTCCACTTTAAAATGTGTTGGAAATGAAGTGTTGTTCAAAACGTTCAAGAGTAAAGTTAGTCTCCTGCCATTTTAGAATACTATTTATTATTTGTACCTATTATAAATAATAGTTACAAATAGTTATGCAAGTGTATAACATTCGGCTTTCGCTCTATCGAGCGATAGGTACTATAAGTGAATCCATAACAAAATGTTCTATATTTTTTTATTTAGTTTTTTAATCTAGAATCGCTGTACCACTTGTACCATCGATTATCGAATCACCCCATATTAAATAAATATGCAAATGAATCTGCCACGCACACGAGAGTACATCACGCTAAAAAAGTACAAGGGGAAGACATTTAATGTCGCTACGACTATTAATCTTACTATATTGCTACTTCTTCTACCTATTGTTACTCTAACGTTTATTGAGTGTGAGTGAGCATCTATATCGGATCGATGAACATAATGTGATACATATTTATTTATACATTATATATATTTTTTATGTTAAACATGTGTGCATGCATTTCTACATGTATGCATTGCCATACTGAGATTTAACATCCCCTAATCTTAGCTACCAAAACATAGTAATTTAAAAATATTGAAATATATATATACATATATATATTGTAAAAAATTTTTCATTGTCTTTTAGTTATATATGTATTTTTATTTTTGCGAAACGTCTACGATATACACACAAGACATACATATATACAATAAAAAAAGACTATATTTT